ATGCTAGGGTGCCCGGCGTATTTCAGGACATCCACACTGGGGATGCCAACCACAGTCGCCATGGAATCCAGCCTCTCTCAAAGCAGCTCCTTACCACTGCATCATGAGGTCAGCCTGGGCTGCTTTACTCTTTGGCTTCCCACCTCCTCCTGCCGGTCTTACCCCAGCGAGTTAGTGGAGCTGCTGCTGCCCCTGGGATTAAACGATTAGGGGAAGGGGCGGAAGGACGCCAGAGAAGGGCAGCTGCTGTCCTGAGCGCACCGCCACCCTCTGGGCCGGGGAGGGCACAGAGCTGCCTTTCCCTCGTGGGGTTGTGCTCGTGGGTTCTCGGGGGGCTCGCTCAGCCAGTTCATCCTCAGGACACTATGTGAGTGTCTTCAGCCCGATGGCGAGCGGGCTTAGCACCCGTCCCTACCGTTCTCTGCGGGTCCCCTCGCTACCCTGCGCGGTTGTCTGAGCTAGACTCTGAGGCTACCCCAGACCGTGCTTTCTCATTGTTATCGTTTTAGTATTTATCTCTGCCATGACTGAGAGAGACAGAGGTAGAGAAAGAGCGAGGGGAGAGGCAGCACCTACCTGGTCCTGGCACCCAGGTCCTGCTGGACACATACGTGGAGTGCTCAGGGGTCTCCAGGCGCAGAGCAGGAAACCTCCCCAGAGAGCCGTTTCACCACCGCCACCAGGCCCCTTCCTTCCCCCTTAGACTGCATCTGGGCCCCAGGGGTGAGTGCCTGGGCCTTTCATCGCCTGAAGGGCAGCGCTGGGCATTCTCAGCACTCATCTCACCTAGTTCCCTCAAGACAGAGTCAGAATCTGGCCTGCGGCTTCGGCTTCCCAGAGCTGTGGGAGACACAGTCACATGCTCCGGGGACCTCCCTGAACCCTCGTATGGTCCTGGGGTAAAAGAGCATCCCTTCCTCTCGTCCACGGGTACAGGGCACGGACAGCACACGGACAGCTCTCTCCAGGGTCCTAAAACTCCCCGTTTCCAACATCCCTGACCTCCTCCACTTCACTCTTACTGTCCTCCAAAGAGGGTGAGGGGTAAATGCTGCTAAACTACTTTTTAACATCCTTTTCTTGGTTCTGCCTAGTGGGTTTCTCCCACCGTCATATTCGTAGTTCATATTTGTAACATTTGAACTGAGATGCTATTTAGATAAACTTGGAATTTGAAAACAGGAGCTAAGAATGACTGCTGTGATCAAAGGTGAGCCTCCACCTCCATGAAATCCAGCATTTACAGAGCCTTTGAAGCCCCTGCAAAGAGCCAGCCCTGCTGGCTCCTAGCTCTAGCCCTGCTCAAGCTCTTCCTGTTAGAATGTGGAGCCAGCAGGGGCATGGTGGTTAAGACCCTGGACTTCCACATGACCAACCGCAGCTCAAGACCTGGACTTGGTGACTTGCTTTCTCACTCCCCCCCCACCATATGGAAGCATATGCTCTATAGCAAAACAAACAAACAAACAAACAAACTAATGATAATAAATAAAATTAAATAAATAATTCTTTTGTAAAGGGAAAGAAATGAGGAACCTAAGGTCCAGTGAGTTCAGAGGCTGACTTGACTTAAAAAGAGACATGACTCGGAATCGCATCATTATAGGCAGCAAAAGGATGACCAGGTCATGTCCCCTGGGCGCCTACTCTACTCTTGTGACGTTGTGGCCACGTGGTAACCGAGAAGCTCGTGGGGGCTAGGGAACCCCTGTGTCTCTACAGCTGGAAACCTGACTTCAAATTCTGGTTCTTATGTGTACCCCCTGGGTGATTCTGGCCAAATCTTCTCTGAGCCTTGGTTTTCTAAAATGGTTGTCATTTCTGTAAAATGACACTGATAAAGGAATAAAGAGCAAAATGGATACTTCTTGAGGAAGTCCTTTCAAATTGCTATGCCTTAGGCAAATGCCAGTTGTCATTGTTATTATAATATGGGGGAGGGGTTAACCATGGTTCCTTCAGGATCATCTTCCTGTTAGAATTATTATGTGGTTTTTCTATGAGATCACTATTGTTTTATGGTGTTCAGTCATAAGAAATATAGAACCTAAACCAGTTCCAAAACTTTTTATATAATTATTATGAAACTGCTATTAAAACTTTCTTTTTTTTCTTTTTTGAGAGAGAGATTTTTGCTATAGGGCACATGTGCTCACCAGAGAGACAGAGAAAGTGAGAAATCACCCCCTAAGGGGAATGACCACGCCACAATCCCTTCTCCTCCATCGTCCTCTCAGCATTTTGGGCACTTACACACACACATCCGGGTATGAGGTTTTTTCTTTTTTTTTTTGGAGAGGTTTTTCGCTATAGGGCACCTGCGCTCGCCAGACAGACAGAGACAGACAGAGGGACAGAAAGCGAGAAATCACCCCCCAGGGGGATGGTCACGCCACAATCCCTTCTCCTCTCGGGATCTTGGGCACGCACGCACACATGCCTGGCGTGAGTTTTAAGCCACCAGGTCCAGGACATGAACCGCGGTCGACTACGTGGGAGTCCAGCGACATAGCCATCACGCTAACTGCTGGTCCCTGGGTCTGAGTTTTAAGCTGCTGAGTCTGGTACTTGAACCCTAGTTGACTACATGGGAGTCCAGCGACATAGCCATCATGCTAACTGCTGGTCCCCAGGTCTGAGTTTTAAGCTGCTGAGTCTGGTACTTGAACCCTAGTTGACTACATGGGAGTCCAGCCACATAGCCACTATGCTAACTGCTGGCCCCTAAACCTTGTTATTAATATATGAGACAACCCTCAGAATGGGAGAATACATTTGCAAACTATGCTTCAGATAAAGGACTGATAACCAGAATATGCAGGGAACTCAAGCACCCTATCTGCAAAAAAAAAATAATCAATTTAATAAAAAGATGGGAAAATAAGATGAATGAACAACTCTCCGAGGAAGACATCTGAACAGTGAAAAAGCACATGAAAAAATCCTCAATATCCGTCATCATAACCATAAGCTAACAGAAACAGCTGAGTAAACAAATGAGAAATTAGAAAACGCTATGAAACAAAAGCACATGCGTCACCATAGGCCTGAGCAAAATAGTGTCTAGGACAAGAGAACTTTCACTACCCACAAGGCCGTGAAGGAGGACACAACCTTTCTCTGTCAGATTTCTGTCACAGGCCATGGGGCACCCATTTTTACACAACATGGCGCCTTAGAGCCTTTTGGACATGCAGAGGCAAAATACATGCCAGGTGGCTCCCTAACTGGAGTGCCGGGACCAGTGGATGCCAAAGCGCAGAGGGAGTCAGGCCAGGTCAAGGGGAGGCTCACTGAGGCTCGGAGGGAAGGGACGCTGCTGGCATGGGCTTCTTCCCAGAGCAGGAAACCCGCCCTTTGTCCTTGCTTGACCTCTTTGGATCGCCAAATGCAGGCCATGCTCATGTCTGAAGGGGGGAAGAGCAGTGGGAGAGGAGGAGCACTCAACAGGGGAAAAACTTGCATCTTCATCGCCACCATTTTCTGAGCGAACTGAGAGAGGTCAGGGGGAAATTGGAAAGCTGAACTTACCATCCAATTTCAGCCTTCCTGTAGGAGAGCATATGGCCAGGTTTAAAGCTGTTTTTATTTATGTTATTAAGAGAAAGAAAAGTAATTTTGGAATAGGCCATGAGCACTGACCTAGATGATCAGCGTGTGGGAGAGGAAGCCTGGTGAAGTGTGATGTCATAGGATCCAGGTGAGCCAGAGAGGTGACGGCCGGCCAACTCTACAACAGCCAGCGGGCCCACTGATTTCCGCTGCTTCCAACTATTCCGTGTCAGTTTCTCAAGAGACTCGCGTGTGTGCGTGCTGAGTCAGTTGCATCTTCTACTGCAGGTTCAGAAAAGCCACGGTCCATGAAGGAACGCAACCTCATCTTTATTTTAAAAGTTATTTTCCTTTCAATGCTGCTAGATCAGAGAGGCTCAGAGGATCGTCACTCTGCCAGACTGCGAGTCTCGCTGTCTACCCTGGAAGGTCGAAAGTCTCAGCCCAGGGGCCTCACCATTTATGCAGAGGTTTTGGGGGAGTTTCGACTATCCAGGCAAGATCTAATCGAGAACGATTAAATGGAGAATGGAGAGAGCCGTGAGCATTCTGGGAAGTGGCCTTGAGAGAGCCAATCGGTCAGCATTCATTGGCCAAGGTAGAGGCCGCTATTTTCCTTTGGGGACTTTGAGCTTTTCCATTGGAGAACCATGTCCCCCACGGAGGGACCTCGTTCCTGGAATATAATGCTGCCTTAATAGACATTGAACTGTGTGGGCATCAAACTCGAAATGTAATTTTTAATTTAACCATTCCCTTTCATAAACTCCTTCTTTTCCCCCAGGAGCTCATGCTGTACAAGCGGGAACTAGTGAGCGAATAAATGAATGAGCGCTGGGCTGATAAATGCACATTGTCTGGTTACGTGTAAGAGCATTTATGAAGCTTGTGAACCTAAGAGCCTTCTCGCCTACTGCTGTTTGCTTGAGTACAATGCCATTATTCGTTATGCTAAATGCACCTTTATATTCGTAAGACAGCGCTATTTACAAAATGCTTTCACAAGCATTATCTCATTCAGTCCTCACAGCAGTGCTGCAAAATAGGTATCATTACCCTACTTTAGATAAGAGGGTGATCCGTCCAAAGTACACATAGGCAAGGGGCCGGACTTGAACCTAAGTTTTGCCACATATACTCAGAAGTCCTCCCTGTTGAAAGGTAAGCAAGAAGGCAAAGGTTATAGTCTTTTGTAAACAAATGCTTGTTTCTGAAGTTGTAGTCACGAACCTGTCCGGAGAGGGTAACTCCTGGCAGGCTCTCCCAGCCACCTGGCTTGCCACTTGTTACACCTGCTGTTGTATACACAGCTGGTTTTAGGAAGGTCACTGGACAAGAGTTTCATGTGACCATAGACATCAAAACAACCAGTGAAAAAGGGGGAGACTCTAACAATTAACCAGTAATTTTGTCCACACAATGACAACCTTTGGAGTTGATGTCTCTGCTTGAGCCGAGCTGCTGAGTTCACGGATACCACTGTTATTTATTCTCCGGTTAAATGTCAATCCACAAGGAAGCCTGCGGCTTGACCAGCAGGAGTCAGTCTCCAAAACCAGGTCCCAAAACAGGACCCGCCTGCTGGGCCCTGGTGCTCCTGCCGTGCAGCACTGAGTGGCCAGCATTGCTCCCACAGTCCAGAGTCTGGGACCCTTAGAAAGCACTTAGTATGGTACTTTCCCGTTTTTTAAAAAAGCTACTAAATAGTTAAATGACTCCCAGTTAAATGACTCTCAATCATTCAAAAATACGATTCAGTTATTGAGAAGCAGAAACAGGAATGCTACCATCCAGTCTCCACTTACTTCGGTAAAATCGATTAGGACTTGGGAGAGGAGACACGCACTGACTTTTCCCTTTGGAAACTGACGGTAAGTACTTACATATTTTGTGACTTTTTTTTCTCTTTTTACGTGCAGAACCCCTGTGCTCAGGAATAAACATGTATGTAGTACTGCTCACTCAAACAGAAGGGTTTTATTACCCTACCTTTTATTACCATACCTTACCTTGGCAAGGTAAGCAGTAGGGACCTCTAGATTGTAGAACTGAAAAAGGTCGAGACATGTCAACGAGGAGACAGTCTTTCTCTCTGTGTGTTTGATAGCAGTGGTAAAAGCTGCTGTTTGGAGCAGGCGGGGCCTGCCGTGGTGGGGCATAGAGGCAGGCCTACTGACTGACCCCCACGTCTGGGCTTTTTCTTCGAATCAGTGATCAGACCGTAAGAATGCTACACTTGAAGAAGAGACACATTCGGGAACCTCGCCAGCATATGGCTGGGATTTCTCTTCTCTCCCACGCAGTTGACAGCGCCGTGGTGGGGCATAGAGGCAGGCCTACTGACTGACCCCCACGTCTGGGCTTTTTCTTCGAATCAGTGATCAGACCGTAAGAATGCTACACTTGAAGAAGAGACACATTCAGCGGGCTCGCCAGCATATGGCTGGGTTTCCTCTTCTCTCGCTCACGTATCTGAGAGTCTCCATTCCCAGTCCTTAACGACGAGAGGGGCTCAGAAGGCATTGAACCCACTGGGGATTCTCTCAATGACAGGTCCTAACCACAACTGGGTTAGTCTTCCGTTACTGAATAATAAATTGCATCAATTGTAGTAGCTTAAACAATACCCACTTAACAGGGCCAGCAGGTAGAATGGTGGTTAAGGTGTTGGACTCCCACAAGGCCAACCACAGTTCAAGTCCCAGACCTGACTGCTTGCTTTCTCATTCTCTCTCTCTATTTCTCGCTCGCTCTCTCTCTCTCGTCAAATTAAAAAATAATAATAAATAAAATTAAATAAATTATTCAAAAGAAAACCCCACCATTTTTCACCTCGCACTTTCTGGAGGTCAGAAGTCTGGTCTGGGTAGGACTAGCAGGATCCCCACGTGGCTGGCCTCAGTTCGAGTCCGGACCCTAAGGCGTGAGATTCTGGCAGAGCACGTGGGTGTGCACAGAGCCCTGAAGGAAGAATGGAGGAGAAGGGATTGCAGTATGGACATACCCCTGGGGGTGATTTCTCACTTTCCCTCTCGCTCTCCAGCAAGTACATGTGCCCTATGGACAAAAACCCTTAAAAACAGAAGGGACCTGGTATGGCTGCTGAGAGCTCACAGGCTGAAATCGAGGTGTGGTCCCGCCGTCCTAGCCTCGCTCGGGGCCTCTCCCAGCTCTCCGACGCTGGCCACGTCAGCTCCTTACAGTACAGGGCTGCGGCCTCATCTTCTGCTCCCTGAGGTCACCTGGTCACCTACAGAGCCCTCGTCCCCTAGTCACACCAGCGGCTCTCACGTGGGAACGAAGGAACGCCGTAGGGACAGCAGGGCCAGCCGCCCACACGGTGCTTAGAATGGGCGCGGGAGGAGTCTGATGACTCACCGTGCTCCCAGTTCCCGGACTCCTCCGAGCCTCCCAGGCCCAGGCCCCGGAGCTGCCCTTCCTGACCTGACGAGGCGGCCCTGCTTCCCCTGCACTCCCGGAATAGCCCAGACGCGGCCAGGATCCCGCAGGAGACACGGGCTTCTGCGCCCCTTCGTTGAGAGTCCTCGTCGACGGCCTTACCGTCGGGAAGGTCCAGAAGCCTATGACCAAGGCCAGCTAGAAGGGAGAGAGCGTGCACAGCCACAAGTGCGCACTCGAGCAGGCTGCCGGTCATTTACACCCCAGACCAGGAAGGACGTGGCGGAGGTGACTGCTCGTGGCGGGTGGTGTTTTCCGATGACGGGAGCGCGGTGCCACTGTCCACATACTCTCACGACCTTCACCCTCCTCTCTTCCTGCGTTACGGGCTCTGTTCCTTCCTCTGGAATCCCAGTGGGCTCTGACTGGCACCAGTGGGGTCACGTGACTTTGAAGGCCCTCACAGAGGGCTGTTTGGGTTCCCCTGCTGTCTTCGGGATGCTCACCTAGAACGCAGCCAGCCTGCTGTGGATCCAGGCCACCGCGCGGCGAGGCCACGTGTGCAGTCCCTAGCACACGGCCTCAGCAGAGGCCCCAGGCACCAGCCAGTATCAGCCGCCAATAGGCCAGTGGGCTGGCTTCACCCAGGCCCCACCCTCCCCAGCTTTCCAGTTCTTCCAGCTGAGGCCCCAGACAGCGTGGAACCAAGACAAGCTGTCCCCACTGTGCCCTTCTGCACGCCTGATTCCTAGGTCCACCGGTTTAACTAGTTTAATTGCCTTGAGTTCCAGGAAGCCTCTTTCGGGGCTTTAGTGACACTAACACCGGAATTAGCCAGTGCAGAGGGGCTGGGCCTCACAGTGATGGAGGCACGTGTAGTCTAGCTTCCGGAGTCAGTGTGCGAGGTCGGACCTAGGGTCTGAAGTTCTGCTCAGTGAGTCCCCTCGGATTCAGCGTGCTCTTCCCAGTTTGATACCATCCAGAGGTGGGTGCAGCTCCCTTCCCCTGCAGTGCTGACACCTGCTTGGGAGCCCTGGGGACCAGTGACAGTTTTCTCGTTGGTCCAGTTCTGCGACATTCCTCAAGGCATGGCTTCTGGAAGTTTAACCCATTTCCCAATTCTCTCAAGGATCCTGTGGAAAGGGACCGTAATGGAATCTTCAAATAGAACATGTGCCTTACGGAAAGATTGTGCATAGACTTCAGAACTTCTGCACCGAAGCTGACGTGTGCTTCTACTCCACTCTCCGCTTTTGACGTCCTCTGCTGTAGTTTACCCCTTGAACGAAAACACCTTCGAGAGTGGAAGGGCTACGAGGTCATTTCGAGAGGAAATCAGGACTGCGTTAACGGATGGGTGCCCAGTAACCCTGACGCCGTGACTTAATACCAGTCGCTGCTTCAGTAGACTCGTCTGTAGCCGAGAGCCCTAACCCAAACGCCACAGGAGTTGTAGGGCCACCGTGAGTGGCCCCTATGTACTGTATTTTTCCTATAATACAGAGGAAAATATTTTAAGCTACGTATTTATAAAGCAAATCCAGATTCATTCATATTCATATAATTTATTAGATCAGTATTACTCCCTTAATGTAGTCATATGCTTGTTTCTTAAAGAACCGTGACAACTGGGACCAGCAGTTGGCGTAATGGCTATGTTGCTGAACTCCCATGTAGTCAACTGCGGTTTGAGTCCCGGACCCAGTGGCTTAAACTCATGCCGGACGCATGGCGTGCGTGCCCAAGATACCGAAAGGAAAATGGAGGAGAAGGGATTGCAGTGTGGCCATCCCCTCTGGGGGTGATTTCTTGCTTTCTGTCTCCCTGTCTCTCTCTGTCTTCCTGGCGAGCACACACACCCAAAAACAAAACAAAACAAACAAACAAAAAAACCCGTGACAACCATCTTCCATGTTGTTAAAGAACAATGTATCTCAAAAATAAAGAAAGAAAGGAAGAAAAAAAAATTAAAAAAAGAGAGCAATGTATCTCATCATGATAGCTTTTTAACATTTACTTTTTATTTCTTCCTTAAGCGAGAGAGACAGGCGAAGAGAAACACCCTGACAGAGTTGTGACACCCCTATCTCCTCCCAACTTCAGCCAGCCACAGATGATAGGCAGACATGCCCCGCATGCCCACGGGCGACTTGGCTGCGAACCCAGAACCTTCCACACAGGTCAGCCTTGCAGGTTACAGCTTACCACTGTGTGGCCCAATCGTGTATGAGTGAGCAAGGCTTTGCTGACACACAGATGAGCTGGGTTTGCTAAATGAAGTGTTACTAGGGCCAAATATGTCATTTAAGAAATCTTATGTTGCTATTAAAATTGTCATCATCTGGGACCAGCAGAGGGAGCAATGATTACGCCGCTGGATTCCCATGCAGTCAGCGATGGTTTGAGTCCTGGAGCCGGTGGCTTAAAACTCAGGGCAAGCGTGTGTACGTGCACGCCCAGGATTCTGAGAGCACAGTGGGGAAGGACTCATGGTCATCCCCAGAGGTGATTTCTCCCAGGATTCTGAGAGCACAGTGGGGAAGGACTCATGGTCATCCCCGGAGGTGATTTCTCCCAGGATTCTGAGAGCACAGTGGGGAAGGACTCGTGGTCATCCCCGGAGGTGATTTCTCCCTTTTTGTCCCTCTGTCTCTCCGGCAAGTGCACTCACTCTGTAGGCAAAAATCTCTCTTAAAAAAAAAAATTGGGGACCAGCAGGTGGTGAGGTTTTAATTTCTTGTATTATATTCTCCATTTCCAGAAGTCCCATTTGATTCTTTCTTAGGGTGTCTGTTTCTTTATGGAGTCCCCTTTCATGTCCTGGAATGATCTTCTCATGTCCTGCCATTGATTTTCTCTTTTCTCTTGCATCTCACTGAGTTTTGTCACTGTGGATGTTTAGAATTATTTTTCTGACATTCCGGTGAATTCCTCTGTGCTGTCCCTCGGTGAGGGGCTACTGCGCTCACCTGGGGAAGAGTTACCCCCTCGTCTTCTCATGTTTCTCTGATCTCCGCACCAGCTTTTCATCAAACGATGCAGTATTCCTTTTATCGTTTAGATGTACTTTTTCCTGTTTGTTGGAGTAGATTGTGTAGTATTGGAGGAGGGAATTTTACCCTTAGGTCCCAGGTATTTTCCTACTAGAGGCCTGTGTCTTCCAGGTCAGAGCAGATAAAGTTGGACCAGTAATCTCCTCTACCAAACTTCCTGCGCTGGTGAGGCGGGAACAAGCGGTCGCACTGTGTGACTGCCCCGTGCTGTCGTGCTGTCGGTGCAGGCAGAGCGCCACAGCGAAGCACTCCTGAGCCAGCCTGCTGCGGCCAGGCCCTGTCCCCGGTGGGCGGGCTGAGCCCAGGCAGCAGCAGTACGGGGTGGACAGAGGCTGCAAGTTCCAAAGCCACCCCTGTGGGGGCAGGGGTGCGCTCACGAGAAGAGGCCTGTTGAGACCTGCAACATCTTTAAAGTGTCG